AAGCTTCCTGTGTCAACTTAAGGACAGGTGAGCTACTACGCGAGTACTAACGACCTTCCCAGCAAACAATAATACGTTATGCTAACGTGACAATAACGTTACAGTTTTGTTTTGAAAACTTTATTTTGTAGAACCATAAATACATACNTACTGAACATAATTTCACAACGTTTGCACGTTCCTACAACGTTGTGTAAACGTTATTTTGTGACATACCTAACCACAACATTCGCCAAGAACGTTATAAGAACGTAAACACGTGTTTTCCGGGTTTCTAAAGATAATAACTCGTGGCTTGACAACAGGATTCCATTTTCTGATGAAGTTATTAATGTTTTGACACAGAACAGAGATATTCTTTCCACACCAGCAGAAAACCCACAAGAGACTTAAAACAGACCCAAACCGGGACGTCCTATCGAAGTATTGGGGGATTTTTCAGAGAGTTCGCACAAGGGTAAAAAAGTACAAGAGATGTTGACATAAAATGTACGCACTGAACTTCTTTATGCAGCATTGCAAGGGGCATTCAAGAAGAATCGATTTTAGAGTCAACTAATATGTAGAAAATACATACACATTTTATTTCTCCCTGACGAATTGTAGTTTATCTCCCCAACGCCGGGGTGGGGGGAGGGGGAAGCTTTCCTCGATGGGGACCTCTCCTCGACAGGGACCCTGCCCCATTCCCCCTGCTGGCGTCACCCCTGAGGCGCAAACCGGAATCGTTCACGACAGATGAAACATTGTCCATTTTTGTAGCTCCATAGTAAAATGAGACTCCTCCTTACACCAAAATAAAAAGTAGCAAAAAAGCATTGCTATCCTGGTGGTACAGTATACCTGTCAAAGAGGACAGCAAAAGTTCCTCTTCAAAGCCTCCTTGTTCATACTGCACTGAGAATTATCAAAAAAACATAAAACGACCATTATCGATACTTTTACAATATAGGCCTAATACCATTGGGGACGGAATTATATGACAATATATGATTATCATTATCATGACATTGGTGTAGGCAATGTCTGATAATTCCATGGAATCTCAGATGCAAACACATTTTACATTTAAAAAATGTAAAATTAGGTTGTCTGGAATTATTATGAATTTTGATTTTGATTTATATTCACTGTAAGATAGAAATTTTAATGTTGGCCTATGCCACTTTTGGCCCCGTCCAATCAGAAAAATGTATTTTGATGACGTCATGGAAAATACATGAAGTTTTCCACAGAAGTTCTTTTGTCCCAAACCTCCTTAAACATTTCAAAATTAATTTGTAATTTCACTGTTCTCTGGTATTACAATGAAAACTGACATCGTCCAATCAAAAAACAGTACAAAAATGACGTCACATAGATTTGAAAATGCTTTTATTGAATTCTACGGGTATGAAAACCTCTAGATAAGTCTTGTATTCGCTCAGATTAGCTTCTGTAATGAGTAATTAATTTTGGCACGCTTTGACTTCAATCTGGCCCACTGTGCGTCGGCCAACAACGGTGGTAACCAACGTCTATTTCAAACGTTTACCGACGTCGGGCCAACAAAGTACTATGACGTTGCGACAACGTCTTTAATTACATCTAATATTTACAACCCCTAACCAACGTCGGCCCAACGGTTGTAACCAACCTTCACTAACGTTTACCGACGTCGGACCAACAAAGTACTCTGACGTTGCGACAACGTCTGTTATCACATCCTAATATTTACAGCCTCTAACCAACGTGGGGCCAACGGTTTTAACCAACCACCATTTCAAACGTTTACCGACGTCGAGCCAACAAAGTACTCTGAGTTGCGACAACGTCAGTTATGACATCATAATATTTACAACCTCTAGCCAACATGGGGCCAACGGTAGTACCCAACCATCTTTTTAGTAGTTTGCCGACGTCGGGCCAGTAACAAATCGTCACGTTGTACCAACATCCGTAGCCAGACTGAATATTTACGACGGCTTACCAACGTTGGGACGACATCGGAAAATCGACAAATATATTCATACGTTGGTTTGACGTTACCTCTCCGACCAAATTTTGCAACCAAACACCAACGTCGTACCAACGTCAGATATCCGACCCGGACGCTTGCCAACGTTTACCAACGTTGGGCCAAAGTCGCTTTTGCTAGCTGGATATGCATCAGCCGAATGTAGTACAATTGTTTATCAGTGTGATTAATCTGCTCAATAAATAATTTTAGTTACTTGTGCAAATATAAAGATGTGGGTAACCCACATCTTTGTATACGTCTTTTCATGGATCTTGACCTGCTATGTAGGCCCACTTTAGGCTAGACTATTGGAAGCGACGATCGAAGAAAACCGGTTAAGCAAGCCAAGGACTTTGCTAACTTCCATTTCTCAGTGTTAAACTCCTTCCATCGATTATGGGCACCGTCTAAAACTTTCTTCCAGCTTACTGTATCTCGGAAAAGAGTGTAACCTTTTTGTCTGCAGTTGGCTCAACATAAATTACACAGGAGTCAGTGAGTTTCCATGACGGCATAGGGTCGGACATGACACGTTGTTGTTTGTTGTTATTTCGCGACGTCATCAAGGAGTACAATGCATTCATTATCCACCATCAACTAATTTGCCTTAAAAAAATACATTGGTTTGTGTGGTAATCGAACACACAACCTCCATGTTTGCTATTCATTATCCACTATCAACTAAACTGCCTTAAAAAAAAAAATCGAACCTTAATAAAAAAAATAAATAATAAAAAAAAGACTTGCCCCGTGTGTGAATCGAACCCACGATCGCTGAGTTTACTAACCCTGATGCAGCATGACTAAACGGAGGGAGGTAACCCGCGGCCCCTAAGCCATAAATGCGATAAACCTAGCACCACACCAAGTACCAGTTAGTCAACTCACTAACTAAACTAAACAAAGTGTTGTAGTCTTCCAACGCTCGAAGATACAAAATTTCAAAAAACTTCAATATTCATGCAACAGAAATTACGTCGTCGTTTTCCACAAACCGTTTTTCAACATGCGCCTGTCTGTCGGCTTCAGCAGTGTTGATTCACAAAAAGAAATTAAAAAACAAAGAAACTGCTGTCAAACTAAGTCCTTCAGTTGTCCAACTCTCGAAGATATAAATTTAAAAAATTCAGTTCTCCTCTTCTGGTTATCACAATCTTTCAACATGCGCCTGTCTGTCGGCTTCAGCAGTGTTGATTCACAAAGGAAATTAAAAAGTAAAAAAAAATTCTCAAAATTCCATAGCCAGTACTTCGGCTATTCATTGGTAACTTTTTACCGCTGCCACCATGTGGGATAGTTGAACCCGATTCTCAAGTCCCTCTGTAGAGTATACACAAATATAAAGCACAAGTTCTGGTTTCTCGGTGTTCAATCTATACTTTTATTCAGATTTCACGCAATCTAACAAGCGGAGCAGATATGTACAATCTGTTTCTATAAAGCAGTGACAATTCTAACTAACTCATCAAGGAGGGAATCTTAATTATTATACTGGGTTTTAGTCCCTCCCCTTATACTACACTTAATTACTAAATACTTAATCTAATTGGTAGAATCTTAACTTAGTCATCCCTCATTTCGTAATGTTGTATTTCCAAAGAAGGTACCGTCCATCACTAAAAGATGACAAGTTAGATCCTAGTCCTACCCACAGTTTCACCACAGTGGTCTCCTGGTAGTTCTGTGTTTGGTACCACCTTAAATGTCATTAACCAGGAGGACGTTATCACAATCATCTCCCATCAACTGCATTAGCAAAAAAAAAAAAAAAAAAAAAAAAAAAAAAAAAAAAAAAAAAAAAAAAAAAAAAAATTGGTTTGTGTGAGAATCGAACACACAATCTCCAGGTTTGATATTCATTATCCACCATCAACTAAACTGACTTTAAAAAAAATGGTTCGTTTGGGAATTCAGGCCCGTATCCAGGGGGGGAGGGGTTATGGTTCGGGAGAACCCCCATTTTCTAGCAAACCCTCTCTTTTTTGGCGAACCCCCCCCCCCCTTCAAATTTCCCAAATAAGTCCTCCAACCCATGCACTGCAGACCCACCCAGACACAGACGTTTTCAAACCGTTATCTGCTTTTATAGCATTATTTGGACCCATAAAGCACAAAAATCCTCTTGCTTTGGGGTTTCGGCAACCCCACCGGGGCTTCGACCGTGGACCTCACGCCCAGAAAACCCCCCTTGGAAGAACCTGGCTACGGGCCTGGAATTGAACACACAACCACCAGGTTTCCCGTAACATGATTAGTCTATTTTTTTTTTCTAATTTGCAAAATGAATTTTTCAAACATTTTTGTCTATTTAAAAAAAAGTACGTAAGTTATGGAGATGGTAACAATCAAAAATCGATTATTAATTTAATTCTACATTTTTAGACAAAAAAATAAACCCTGTTGGCCCACGGCCCATTTTTGACACCATGACCATGAGTATTATTAACCTGCAGTGTATATATACGAAGCATTTTTTATATAACGAAGAGACTTACAGACAGAAATTCAGGAATTGTCGACATACTCCCAAAACCCAAAACGACGATTAAGCAATGGTTTAATGAAAGTAGGCACTATTTTGATAACTGGCTTAAATTTGCTGACGTTCAGAGTGACAATGCTGCAGGCATTATTGACCTGATACGGAAGGAGCATACCCCAGAAAATGTTCTAGAGTTGACCGAAATGGCCGACACGTTTGTAGCAAATAGGGGTGGGTCTGATTTTTGGACGGTTCGAAATTCATCCCAATCCCCAAAAATGTCATATTCCCAATCTATTTACGCTCCAAAACAATATGCTAATAAGTATACTCCGAACAACCCTAATGAAAATTTAATGAACAATCAAGGGAAACAACCACCTAAATACTATAACTGTGATGGATTAGGACATTTTGCCATAACTTGTAAGCCTAAATAAACTTAAGCATAGTGCCAACCCAAAGTCGGCATTTAAATGTGACCGACAAACAAGGCAAGTTGATCCAGCCCAACTTAAAATGCAGAAATGCACATTACCTGGTACCATAGAGGGTAGGGGAGTAACTATTCTCCGAGATTCCGCTTGCACCCAAACTGCAGTAAATTCTAAATGTATTCCGGAGACTTGTTATTTACCTGAGGAATTTATAACAGTCCGGGGTATAGGTGGCGAAATCACAGTTCCCTTAACTAAAATTAATTTGGACTGTACACTGATAAAAGGGTTGGTTAAGGTAGCTGTGATTGATGGACTCTTACATGACGTACTATTAGGACATGACTTGGACTCTTCATGTAGTGAGGTAATAGCGAAGGAAATGTGTATCCTGACTAGGGCCCAAGCTAAGGTACAACTAGAGGACTTTGACGAGGATGACAGTTACCTGATGTCAATTACTGTTGATGAGATAACTAACAATGAATCTGATTCAAATAAACTTACGACCACTGATGCTCCCAAAGTACATAGGCCTCAACGGACAAATGGCCAGGTAGATGAGAATGTTTCATCGACTAATGAGGATACTATATATACTGAAATTAGTGACAAACCCCTACTGCTAGATATAGGTAGGGCCAAACTAATTCAACTTCAAAATGCTGATCATACGCTTAAGGGTATCCGAGACAGACTTATAGATGAAGATGCTATAAAAGATCATAGGGTAGCATTCTACAAAAAAGAGGGTATTTTGTTTAGGAAATGGCAAAAACGACCCATTAGTGGGAAAATTGAAAATGTAATTGACCAAATTGTAGTACCATCTGAATGTAGGCTTAGCATACTTCAATTAGCTCATGATGCTCCTTTAGCAGGACATCTAGGGGTGGAGAAAACTAAAGACAGAATTCTCCAACACTTCTATTGGCCAGGTATATTCAAAGATGTTAGTGAGCATTGCCGTACTTATAAAGCTTGTCAAATGATGAACAAAGCTAAAACCAAAGTTAAACATCCCTTAATCCCAATGCCCATTATTAATATCCTTTTTCGTAGAATAGGTATTGACATTGTTGGTCCGCTAGCCAGGACTGTTAAACGAAATAAATATCTCTTAACGAGTTGTGATTATGCAACTAAGTATCCTAAAGCAATCCCTCTTTCTAACATTAGGGCAACCACAGTAGCTAATGCCTTAATTGAGGTTTTCAGTAGAGTAGGTCTACCTACCGAAATAGTGCATGATCTGGGAACTAATGTCATGCCCGAAATGATGAAATCTCTATCTAAAACGCTGAGAATAAAACAAATTCCCACTACCCCATATCACCCACAAACAAATGACTTGACCGAACGGTTCCATGGGACTCTCAAAAATATGCTCCGAACACTAGACGAACAGAAAATGAGACACTGGGATGATTATATACCTGCATTTTTATTCGCATATCGGGAGGTACCCCATAAGTCTACAGGGCACTCTCCCTTTAAACTTCTCTATGGTCGGGAAGTTAGAGGACCATTAAGTGTAGTTAAGGCTAACTGGATATCCGATGAATCGGTTTCCCAAGATGTAGCAAAATATTTGGTTACAATGAGACAAACTATGGCAGATTTAATGAAAGATGCAAATTGTAATATGGTTAAAAGTCAAAACACCATGGCTGCGGCCTATAACAAGAACGAAACTCTTAGGCAGTTTGATATAGGCGATAAAGTATTAATTTTCTTACCACAGGGAAATTCGAAAATGGACAGTAAATGGCAAGGTCCCATTGTTATCACAGATAAATTAAATGATGTAAACTATGAAGTTACTCTACCTAATAACAGAAAGAGTAAACGGGTGCTTCAAGTTAATATGTTGAAACCTTGGTATGAAAGGGATCATGGTGAAAAGATAGCCATGTGTCATTATGTATTCGCCAATGTCAACTCACTTAATGAACTTGACACTCACGAGAATGACATGGGCATTGAGTTACAATACTGTCAAACCCAAACATGGGCAAACGTACTAATTCTCGATCGAGTTAATGATGAGCAAAAAGATGAGTTAAAAGCACTATTATGTAATCATGCTAATGTTTTTTCAGATGTCTCAGGTAGGACATATTTGATAACACATACCATTAAAACACAAGAATCACCTAGCTCTGTTCGACAAAGGGCTTACAGGACTCCACACTCCCTTAAAGAATTAGTAAAGAAAGAAATAGACAGCATGTTGGAATTGGGAGTCATTGAACCCACTACAAGTGCTTATGCATCTCCTATCATTGCCATTAAAAAGTCGGCAACAGAAATTAGACTAGTGACTGACTTCCGAGAATTAAACAAATGTACTGAGTTTGACCCATATGTTATGCCTCGTATTGACGAAATTATAGATGATGTAACCGAGGCAACATATATTTCCACTTTTGATATAACTAAGGGTTTCTACCAAGTACCATTAGACGATAAGTCAAAACATAAATCTGCATTTATTACTCCCTTTGAACAGTTCTGTTACAACGTGTTACCATTTGGGTTACAAAATAGTAGCAGTACATTCCAAAGACTGATGGACAAAGTGTTAACTGGTTGTCATAGCTACGCCAGAGCTTATATCGATGATATATGTACCTATAGTCAATCTTGGGAGGAACACCTTACTCACTTGAATGATATATTGGGTAGACTAGGTAATGCTGGACTTACAGCTAAGCCAGTAAAATGCAAAGCTGCACAGGCTACAGTATCATTTTTGGGTCATATTGTCGGCAATGGAGAAATAAAGCCTTTGGCAGATAAAGTAGAAGCAATTGTAAACTTTCAGAGACCACTAACTAAGAAACATGTAAGAGCCTTTTTAGGATTAATGGGCTACTACCGGAAATTTATTAAAGACTATGCTAACATTTCTGCCCCACTTGTCAACCTCACTAAAAAGGACAAGTCCAATACTGTGAAGTGGGACAGTGATTGTAATACGACATTCAATACTTTAAAGAAAAAATATCTACTGATCCTATACTTAAGGCCCCTGAATTTACAAAACCATTTACACTGCAAACTGATGCTTCTGAGTTCTTCTGTCTTGGAGCAGTCCTATGTCAATATGATGATGATAATGTAGAACACCCAGTTGCATATATAAGCCGTAAATTACTTTGTAGGGAACAGCGATATTCTGTTCCAGAAAAAGAATGCTTGGCTATTATCTGGGCGATTAAGAAGTTGAAATACTATATGTATGGTCGAAAGTTCGTACTTGAAACGGACCATAGAGCTCTCAAATGGTTGAAGTCAATGCAAAACAATAACAATCGCCTTATGCGATGGGCAATTATGTTACAAGATTATACCTTTGAGATTAAATATAAAAAGGGCAGCATAAATGGAAATGCTGATGGCCTAAGTAGAGCTTAATCAAAGCTAAAGTTTATGAATTTCATGACATATTAAGTTGATTTTCTTTTAAACATTTTTACTTCCTCCGCCTTTATTATTTTACTTTGATTATTCCGACATTGGATATTATTTGTTGTAGTTAAGAATTATTGGTAAAATTTGTATTTTAGTTTAAGTGTTGTTATCATATGCATTGCCAATAAATTGTCCATGTAAAATAACCTACTTGTTTTGATTTTGAGACATTTTGAACAATATCGGCGCTTCAAAAGGCAGGTATAAGAAGATTATTGGGAACTTTGAAAAACATTGTTTATAATATACTTTATTATGTTTTTCGGTACAATTAAGGAGGATGAACATTTATTTTCATTTACTTTGAACATTGATTAACTTGAACGGACAAGCAGAAATTGATGACGACGTGCTGCGAACATTTTACTTTTTAAATTCTCAACTTTTATACAGTTAATATTTTGAACTTTGAATATTCATATAATCCAATTTGTGACCTTAACATACGTTGATTGAATTTTACTTTCACCTCCAATTTTGATTTCGCTTTATGTATTTATATGAATTTAGTAAATTTTTTATGCGTGTTGATGTTCTTCAAGACTGACACAGTTTTCGTTCCGGGGAGGGGCATGTGATAATGTCCTCCTGGTTAATGACCTTTAAGGTGGTACCAAACACAGAACTACCAGGAGACCACTGTGGTGAAAATGTGGTTAGGACTAGGATCTAACTTGTCATATTTTAGTGATGGATGGTACCTTTTTTGGAAACATTACGAAATGAGGGATGACTAAGTTAAGATTCTACCAATTAGATTAAGTATTTAGTAATTAAGTGTAGAATAAGGGGAGGGACTAAAACCCAGTATAATAATTAAGATTCCCTCCTTGATAAGTTAGTTAGAATTTTCACTGCTTTATAGAAACAGCTTGTACATATCTGCTCCGCTTGTTAGATTGCGTGAAATCTGAATAAAAGTATAGATTGAACACCGAGAAACCAGAACTTGTGCTTTATATTTGTGTATAGTCTACAGAGGGACTTGAGAATCGGGTTCAAATATACCACAATAATGAATAGCAAAACCTGGTGGTTGTGTGTTCGATTCCCACACGAACCAATTTTTTTTTTTTTTGGCCCGACGTCGGTAAACGGTTGGAATTTACAACCTCTAACCAACGTCGGCCCAACTGTTGTCACCAACCTCCACTAACGTTTACGATCGTCGGTCCAACAAAGTACCGTGACGTTGGTACAACGTCTATAATCACATCCTAATATTTATCACAACCTCTTACCAACGGCGGACCAACAGTTGTAACCAAACTCTATTTCAAACGTTTACCGACGTCGGACCAACAAAGTACTCTGACGTTGCGACAACGTCTTTAATTACTTCTAATATTTACAACCTCTAACCAACGTCGGCCCAACGGTTGTAACCAACCTTCACTAACGTTTACCGACGTCGGACCAACAAAGTACTCTGACGTTGCGACAACGTCTTTAATTACTTCTAATATTTACAACCTCTAATCAACGTCGGCCCAACGGTTGTAACCAACCTTCACTAACGTTTACCGACGTCGGACCAACAAAGTAATCTGACGTTGCGACAACGTCTGTTATCACATCCTAATATTTACAACCTCTAAACAACGTGGGGCCAACGGTTTTAATCAACCATCTTTTTAGTAGTTTGCGACGTCGGGCCAGTAACAAATCGTGACGTTGTACCAACGTCCGTAGTCAGAC